CACACACACGTACACACACACACACACACACACACACACAAACACACACACACACACATACACACACATACACGCACACGCAAACGGGATCAATCTGGATTTGCCTGTACGTTAAACACACAATCCTTTCATCCTTTTATAAGTAAAGGGATTTAGTCATGACGTGCACACATGTTACAACACATTCTTGATGTTTCCAAGACAGACCCTGATTAATCCGTAAATAGACTGACCATGGAGTCTGGAGTCAGGAAGTGATGTAACAGTGCTCAGTCTCCACCAAAGCTTGGTTACTAACTAGGTACCGCTAAAGGCAATTTGGGGGGTCATGGCTTTTCTAATTTTGGAGTATTGCTTACTGCCTCGTACTCAAACTGTTAATCTCTTGAACTAAAGACAAACTGAAGACAGAAGCATACAGGGAGAAATACGCAAATATACTGGCTTTCACCGTTAACATGACTTACTTATTTTATTTTGTTCAATTTTAAAACTCACTTATACTTTTACTCAGTCACTCATTCACCCACTCACTAGTCCTTTAGCCTGCCCACTCATTCACATTTGGTACTAACATCCATTCAGTCAAACTTTGTTTCATTTCATAACTTTCCCTAATACTCACATATCAGCTGTTTTACTCACTCAGTTATTCAATCACGAATTCATTGACTCATATTATTATGTTTACACCCACCAACACGCACAATACAGACAAACTCACCACCCCCCCCCTAAACACACACACATCCACTCACCCACCATCCACACACCTACCATCCACTCACCCATACTAGTACGGCATACGTACCAAATCAGCACATTGTAAATTTCCCGTCCATCAGGCGACAATAGTAAGATGAAGGTTGTTCTCATGTCTGATACTATTACATAGACCAAATATCTCTTTTATTTCATACTTTTAAATAAATGAAGAGCCCTTTCTTTTATAAGCGATTATGTAGAGTTGAATAATTTGACGATACGATCCATTAAATATTATGTATGATATAATAATAATACATTGTATGATCTCTCTATAGCTCTATATTTGCCAATCTCTCTGTGTGTCTTTCTACCCCTCTCTCTATGTACAATAAATTAAAATAATAAATGAATTGCTATAAATGAGAGCAATTCTTTACAATTGCTAATAAACATAGATAGGCATTAACATTTTAAAAAGAACGTTGGTATTACATTCCTCACCCTGATCCTGTTTCCCGAGAGTTGAAGAAATAGAACAACAGAATATATAACTCACCTATTTTTCTAAAAGAGACAATATGGAATGATATTCTTACTTTGTCGTGTCCCGATGTCCAGCAGTTTAAAAACCGAAGCTCTGACCTTTTCTCCAACGTCAGACAAAGTATAGTCGAACACGAGAAACCGATCGGCCTTTTATAGTATCCGCCAACTCTTTTCCCACCTCACCCCACGAGTGATGCGTCACCGAAAGATAAAAAACTCAATCCTTGCTTTTACAACTCGACGACCGCGTCACAATTATGACGTTTACGGCTTTTTTGACACAGCTATAGCAGAAGATATTGTCTCAAGTATCTCTGACAATCCCCAAGTGTTGTTACGAGGACTGTAAAAGTTCTGGACGAGATGAAAAAAGCCGGAGAATCTGAGCCTGTGTCCACAAATTCTCCGGCACCATTGGAACTCCTCCAACCTTAAAGGGCAAATTTTATTTCGATTGTTTTCGTCCAGTCCCCCAACATTGTCATATAATTGACACTTATAAGACTTTTTTTCTTTTTTGCTTCTTCTTCTTCAAACCTGCGTGGGCGGTGGGAGGGCCCCAACTGGTAAGTCCTACTTCTTTTATTTCATTTTGTTTTGTCTGTCTGTCTGTCTGTCTGTCTGTCTGTCTGTCTGTCTGTCTGTCTGTCTGTCAGCTTCCCTGCACTAATTAACCTGTATCGCGTCGATCTGCTGCTGCATGTCGGGATCCACCCATATGGAGCAGGATACAGCGTTCGAGCAAAATGACAGAGATCCTCGATAATGAAAAAGGGTTTTCTACCTAGGAATCAAACTCCCTTTTTTCGTGCCATGGTACAGAACCTACCGTTTGAAGGAGGTAGAGTACGCCACAAATGAAATAAGATGAACTAAAATTAATTTTTAGAAAAATCTCCAGGTGCTAGTCTCATGAGACTGACTGCGCATGTCTGCAGACAATGACGTGACGTCAGCACATACAGTGATGACGTAAGTCCGGCTCGCATCGGACACGTACAAGACTAAAGGGTGTGGGTTTCTTCATGAACGCTAATTCAACAACGGGTTTTGAGATCAGGGACTTGAATTCAGTGTATGGCTTAGATTATTCTTGTCATTGTAGAGAACCACAACATCAGTGTTATGGCAAAGGCTTTGAAAAAATGTGTGCCACAACAGCGTTTTGTTGCAAAAAAGTAAGAATAATAAGAAACCTTTGATTCAATTACCAAATCTGGCCTAAATG